CTCCATTGCCTTCAATGAGCAGATAAAAAATTATACGAGTCTCAAATTTAACTCCATCCCCGACCTCTTTCCATGGCCTCTTATATGCATCTATTTCCAGTTACTAACAGAGTATCACCATCTGGCTGTCCCAGAGACAATAAAATCATTATGCCCCAGACTGAATTTGGTATCTTTTTTTTCTCAACCCATTCCTTCTCCTTCACTCTAATCTTGATGACTGGCCCCCCTATCCATACACTCACAACCTAGAAACCTGGGAGTTAGACTAGCTTTCTCTCTTTCCTTAGCCAAATGCCCTCCACCTATCCAATCAGTGTCCAGGTCCTACTGATTTTATTTAACTTTTTTTTTTTTTTTTGCCTCTTCTGTCCGTGCCCATTATTTCCAGACTCTCCTACCTTAACTATTGCAATAGTATCCTAAGTGATCTTTCTGCCTTTACTATAAGTCAGTCAAGTTGTTTTTATTCCCTGATAAAATTTCCCTGGTGGCTTTTCATTGAATGTGCAAACTCCATTATGTGATATTCCACACTTTTATTTTTTTAAAGATTCTATTTATTTATTCAACAGTGAGCCATATATATAGAGAAAGCACAAGCAGGGGGAGTGGCAGGCAGAGGCAGAGGGAGATGCAGGCTCCCTGAGAACAAGGAGCCTGATGTGGGGCTTGATCCCAGGACCCGGGGATCATGACCTGAGCCAAAGGCAGACGCTTCACTGACTAAGCCACCCAGGTGCCCCCATAAATTTCAACCTCCAATTTCTTTGGTATTGTCTCAAAGTACTCTTTCTCTGGCATGTAATAAATGTGTCTGACTGAAAATTGAGGTGATCCCTGGTTACATACATTGTTGATTTCCATCCCAATGTGCTTCTGTGTTCTTTGAAAAGGTGATGTAATTATGCCTTACCTAAATTAAATTGGCTTGATCTCTGTAACCATCCCATAAGGTAGTCACTATGTCATCATTGTTGTTGTAGTCATCATCATCGTCCCCATTTTATATGTAGTGGAGAAATGCCATGGTCGCCTCTAAGTACACAAACTTGTAGGCTATCCCAGAAGTCCTGGAATTGAAAGGTTCATAGACCAAATTAAAATGCTCAAACCAGCTAGTTTGTTGAATCAACTTAAAATCTACAGTGAAAAGCAAAGGGAAAGGGATTGGGTAGGTTAAGAATTTAGCGCAAATAGGTGGAAGGACCACACTGCCTGTGTGGTCGCTCAAAGTTCCTCTGTCCTGACTCTCTTTGCACCACTTTCCTCTACTGCAAATGGTGTGGTTACAAGGAGCAGAGTTAAGGGCAGGCAAGAAAGTTTAAAGATGGAAGAAGGTTTGTGGTGCCAATACATGCTTGCTCTATTAGAGAGATGAAGAGGCTATTAAAATATGCATGGCTACAGCTGTAGCTCTGTGATAACCCAGTGAGCAACAGTATGTATTTTAAGCAGAGGGCAAGTGTGCTAGAATGTGTGATACCAATGGGTAGCCAATTTGAGTTGATAAACCTGATCCATGCTTTATGAGTATTTAAGGTTTATTTTGCTTTCCATCTCTTTCTATCCGCAAGTAACACTTTCATTTTTTTCATCCTTTCAATGTGTTTAACACATAAATGTCTCTTCTATGTTTAACATGTCCTATAGGTCTATAATATACTTACTATCTATAGTTAACATTTCTTATGAGTTTCATACATCCCGTTTGTTTTCCTTGTCCTTTAACGCAGAATCAAAAATTCTTAAAGAATGCAGCAAACACACATCATATTATAGATGAAGCACATACGTGAGGCACAGGACTACTATACCACTTGCTCAAGATCCCCACATTTCATGTCTAGGAGAGTCAGGAGTTCAAATATAGAAAATGCCGCTCCACAGCCCACTTCTTAACCAGCATCCTAACTTGATTCCTAATTTGCCTGAGAAAACACAGCTAGTTAAGTCTGACCTCAAATCCAATGCTCTTCCCGCTAAGTACCCTTGGGGCTCGAGACCCCTTTTTTTAATCTCTGTGTTCATTTCCCCAAGCATAGGGCCTACACAAATACTTGTTGACCAAGAGAAGATCCCATTTTAACTTTGCTTTTCTTTTGGGTTAAGTTTAAATGGGCCAAATAATACCCATTTAAGATTGAAGAAAATTTAAATTTTGGCATTTAAAGTTACATTATCTTTGGCATTTGACTTTAAACCAAATTAACCTAAAGAGATACCTAGTTGCTGGAGAGCAAAAGATAAGGATCCATGAACTGAGATCTAGCTCTGATTGTGAAACTGACCCTTTCAAAGGGATTAAGGTATCTCTCTGCTTCATTTTCTTCAGTAGGAAAATGGCTCTAGTAATTCCTATCTACCGCTTTCACTAGGAACTGTTACATTTGCTATTCTTCCTGTTACTAGCATGCTGTTTAAAAAAATGGCTTCTGCATTATGGATTAGAAATTATAAAAAATGTAATAAAGTCTATTTATACATTCATATGATTAACATATTTACATGATTAAAAAATAACAAATGTTTATAACCTTTTTTTAAAAGATTTTATTTATTTATTTATTTGAGAGAGAGAGAGAAACAGCATGAGAGGGAAGAGGGTGAGAGGGAGAAGCAGGCTCCCCGCCGAGCCGGGAGCCAGACGCGGGACTCAATCCCAGGACTCCGGGACCACGACCCGAGCTGAAGGCAGTCACCCAACCAACTGAGCCACCCAGGTACCCCAAATGTTTATAACCTTTTAAAGGCACAGTTTATGCTGCATTTGGACATGTTTCACATCCAGCAGTTTGCTAAGTAATCCACAATTTTCCTCATCCATTTGACTTCTCTAAAATAAAAACAAATAGCAGCCTTCTGAAAGAAGCTAAGATGAATTATTAAGGCCCTAAAATATTTTTAATGCCTCTTTTTAAATTCCATACTTATTTATATATTTATGTATTTGTGTATGTATGTATGTATTTATTTATTTATTTTCCCACTTACAAAAACCTTGTTCCTGTGTAGGAAGTTGGCAATGAGCTCAATATATGCAAGACCATGTAGAACTCAACATGGTGTTCAACCCTGGCTGCCTATTAGGACTGACTTTAAAAAAAAATACTGATGCTTTAGCTCTATATCAAACCATTTATTTATTTATTTAATATCAAACCATTTAAATCAGAATCTCTAAGGATGGAATTCGGGCATCTGGTTTTAAAAGATTTCCAGACATTCTACAAAATACTTGACCAGTACTCTTCAAAACTGTCAAGGTTATCATAAACAAGGTCTGAGAAACTGTCACAGACCAGAAGAGGGAAGGGAGACATAATAACTAAATGTAATTAACGTATCCAAAGTGGGGTCCTGGAATGGAAAAAGGATATCAAGGAAAACCTACTGAAATCCAAATAAACTGTGGAGTTTAAAGCAATGTGCCAATATTGGCTCCTTTGCTGTGATTTTATGTACCGTAGTAATATAAAATGTTAACAATGTTAACAATAGGGGAACTCTAAAATAAAAAAATTATTTTAAAAATCTAATATGGAGCTGGAGTTGAGAATTACTTACATAGCATCTGCTTACACTGTATCAGAAAACAAAAAGTCCCTTTGAAATATTGAGCTCAAGTGCAATTGGCAGCATGTGTGGTCCTAAAACCTGACTCCCAGAAACAATAGGCTGCTTAGGACAGAATACATTTCTAGAGGCACTTTGAGGGAAACAAAAATGGACTAATTACAATAAACATAACTATTTGCTTCTGAGATGCAAAAATTCAAGAAAGACTGCTTAGTAAAGGAGAAAAAAAACTACCCTCAACCCATTTCGCAGGTTAGAAAGGTAGTTTTATTTTGATATCTATGAAAGATATAAATATCTGGATTAAATATAATGTTTGCATTATGGTACCCTAGTAGTTTGAGAAAATTGTGAGTGATTTATCTTTGCTAAGAGTTGTTGTTTCTTACCTATAAAGGAGATTTAGACCTGACCAGAAAGTTCTTCAGTATTAAGTTAATTTTTCCTCTCTTGCCTCTCCCCCTGTGGTAGGAAGGAGGCAAGGAAAAAAGATCTGCTAGTCCTCCATAATGAAGTCTACCTGGATTTAGCCCGGTCACACTTCTTTTTTTCATAACCATTAAAGATATTTGTCATCTGTGTAAATCTCTAGAGGGAAGTCAGAATTGTGCCTAAAGAAATTATTCTGCACAAGTAAGCATTTGACAAACAGCAATTGTTTGGAGATGGCGTTTCAAAAAACTCCCTTTTAATTTTTTGTGTTGCATTATTTTGTTTGCAAAAACGTCACCAATTTGTAATCCAGAATCTGTATGCGTTGAATAAACGGTATTAACAGCCTGTAGTCACCCAGATCACAGTCCAGCTCCCTAACTTCATGCGACTTCAGGTAAATAATTTCTCTTCTCTGAACCGATCTGTTTCTCATCTGTAAAATGCGTCGGTTGGACTAAGCAGTATTCAATGCTCCCTTCTATTCGAACACTGAGATTTTTTGAGGACTTGAAACAAACTGGAGAATTTTAGGATATAGGTCTTTGGGTTCTGGTGGGCAGTATGGTATTGAAGAAACTGTTCTCATGCTTGTGTTTCTAGAGTCTGAACAGTAAATGACAGGAGCAAGGATGCGTACATGGGAAGAGTAGGACAGTGACCCGTATGAGGGTCAACTCCTGAGACATATCTTAGATTTGCAAAGCAAGCAGAGCGTTCGGCTGCTAGGCAACCACTCCTCCTTTGCGAGAGTGGAGGACCCCAATCGGAGGTGTCTAAGTCACTACCTCTTAATTTAGCCATGGTGCCTTCTTCTCGACATTAACGAAATATGTATCCTTTAAAAGCACACTCTTTTTTGCAACCAAGGTTTAACAAGCCTTGTAGCTGAGTTCTGCTCGTGCTGGGTTTTCTTTTTCCTGTTCTCAGGCGCGATGCGGGCACCTCTCAGGCAAGGCCCTTGCCGCCGAGCGTTGCGGGGCAGAGCTGGACGCCTCCCGCTTCCTCCTTGGCCCGGCCCCTGGCCCGGCCACTGGTCCTTCGTGGGCCGCGCTCCGCCGCCATGGGCTCGGAGATGGAGCCGCTGCTCCTGGCCTGGAGCTATTTTAGGCGCAGGAAGTTCCAGCTCTGCGCAGATCTGTGTACGCAGATGCTGGAGAAGTCCCCTTATGACCAGGTACCAGCCGGACCCCGTCAGCCCTGTGAATCCCAGCGAGAGGCAGAGGGCACTGGGGGTGCCGGGTGGGGGCTCCAGGGAGGAAGGCCCAGGGCGAAGTTGACCGTGTGGTCAGCACAGGCATCTGGAACGAGACCCCCTAGAGCCGTGGCCGGCTCGTCCCTGTCGGCGGCGTCCCCGAGTCCCCGCGGGACCCTCGAGCGCTGTGCCTTGGGTGCCCCCTCCTCAAACTTCAGCAGCCCCTTTCCTTTACGGGTCCCTTAAAGGAACACTTAAAAAGTCACCGAATTTTACTTGGGTGCAGAACTTTGATAATTCATTTATACTTGCATACGGATGGACTCGGAAGCTTGCTGCGTGTGCGTTATTAATTTCTAAAACAATGATGTATAAACAAAGATCTGTAACTTCTCACCTCTTGTTGAAATAGCTGCCTTTTTTTTTTTTTGATCAAACGTTGTGATCTCTCCACTTCATCTTAAGATTGTTGTCCAAGAGGGAAGGAAGCTTTGATTCTGGGACATGAGTGCATTTTGAGGCAAATAATACAAGTTAGAGAAATGCGAATCTAGGAGGGGAAGAGATACACTTACTATTAGGAGTGGGGAATGGGGGGAAAAAAGCCCCCTAAAGGAATGATGACAGTGGTTTTAAATAAACTATTACTGTACTACCATAGTAAGATGAATTAAGATATTAAACAAAGAGAAAGAATGGTCATATACTCCCGTGGCAGGAAGTTCCTGGAAGAGGCAAAAAGGAGAAAAAAGGAGAATAAGAGCAGAGCTGTGGCAGTTTGTCAGTGCTTCTAGTAAAAACTGGTTCTCCAGCTTTTCCTCTAGTGGTGTTGTCTTGGAGATGTTAGAAAAAAAGGGGAAATTGAGGGGAGTTACATAAGTGGAGGCATATGTGTGAACACTGTTACTAGGGTCTGCCTTAGTTTCCAGCAAGTGGATGGAGGATAACCTGTTGAGGTGAACGTTTTGACTTTCAGATAGAACAATCCTAGAACAATCCATATTAGTGGGAATACTAAGCTAGATTCTTTTTTTGTGTTAGTTCATGTTAGTTAATAGGACTGCGTTTTTGTTGGAGAAGCTCTTTTTTTGTTTTAATTTAAGATTTATTTATTTCAGAGAGAGAAAGTGAGAACGTGCCGGGGGGTAGGGGGGCTGCAGACAGAATCCTCAAGCCGACTTCCCGATGAGTGGGAGCCTGATGCCTGGCTGGGTCCCAGGACCCTGACCATGACCCCAGCAGAAATCAAGAGTTGGTTGATTAACGGACTGAGCCACCCAGCTGCCCCAGGAAGCATTTTTCTAAGTGTGTTTCTTGCCACAGTAGTCCCACTGATGCTGCTCAAAAAAAACACAAAAATTCCACAATAAAATATGTCTGGGAACGTTACAAAATCTTGACCACTTTACATTTGTACAACAAAATTTTGTTAAAACTCCATGTGATGTACCAGACATTGTTCTAGGCACAATGGTTTGCAATGTACATGCTGTACAATGTAAAGTACATGCTGTTTCTGTTTTTCCATTGATGTAGGGCAGTTTCCATTCTGTGTTCCACAGAGCAATAGTCCCAAGAACTGTTGTTCAGTGAAAGGAAGTTTCCTCATTCAATGCATTTGGGAACTGTATATTCCCTGAGAGATTCAAGATTCATACTAAAGGCCCTGGGTTCTGAAGAAAAGAAACTTAATTTGGCCTAATTTTGATTAATACAATAGTTCTGAAACTTATTTTTGGTAGTGGGCAAGGGTCAGATATCTTCATTGTTATCATACTAGGGAGACATAGTCTCCTGGGGAAACAATGTTATAGGCAAAGCCGTACTGTTTTTATTAATGGTTAAGATCCTATAATCTTGGGGCACCTGGTTGGCTCAGTAGGTTAAGCGTCTGCCTTGGGCTCAGGTAATGATCCCCGGGTCCTGGGATCAGCCCCACTCGGGCTTCCTGCTCAGTGGGAAGCCTGCTTCTCCCTCTCCCTCTGCCTGCCGCTCCCCCTGCTTGTGCTCTCTCGCCCTCTCTTTCTCTCTCAAATAAATAAAAAAAATTTTTGAATAAAAAGATCCTATAATCTTAGTAACATAATCATAGTGCATTCAGTACAGTACTGTGGCCTGTGAATTCAGATTTAGTTTGTGCTAGGCACTGTCATCAGAATTTTATATGTGTTCAATTAAATGACCTTTTGTTGAGTGCTTATTACTTGCCAGGCATAAGTTGTGTGAATTATATGGATTTCAAAGCTTAGAATAATGTTGCAAAGTAGGTAACAAAAATAATAGCTAACATTTATTATTTACTCTGTGTCAGGCTTGGTTCAGAGGGTTTTATAAGTCATCTCATTTAATCCTCAGCCATCTTAGGAAGTTGGTACTATTTCCCCCATTTTACAGATTCACTACACTGGGGCACAAGGTGAAGTAATTTGTCCCAAATTACAAAGCTGGTACACCCATTCTCTTTATACCATGCTGCCTCTTTGGCCCTTATGTAGCCAAATTTTTCCAAAATGGTGTGTTTCTCAACTTTTCCCAGTACATTTTCCCATCTACTGTGCCTTTTTCCAGATTTTAGCTAAATGGTAAAGAATTTTGACATATTTGTGTACTTGTATTAAAGGCTCTGGAGAGTCCTGAAGGAAGGAAACCTAACCAATTTTGATTGAGACAGTATTCTGAAACTTACGTGATCTCTGGTGTCTTTTTTTGGAGGCAGAGGGACAGATCTCTCCCTTATTATCTTGGAGAGAGATCATTTTGGAAAGTGCAGGGCAAAGCAGCAGTGTTTTCTTTAATGGTTTAGATGGGGCCATAGAGATCTTCTTGCTCCCCTTTTTATCTAGGAAGAGTAAGATAAACAGATTAAGGACTTTGTCTACAACTCCTGAATTAGCAGCTAAATAAGGTTAAGGGCTTGGGTCTTTTTATTTGGTTTCTTGTACAGCTATCATTAGGCCTTATGGGCCCTCTTGGCAGATTAAAGACTTGTTACAAGGTATGTTTGGCGGAACTGTGATTTTGATAATGATAATGAAGAAAAAGACACAGGTTTATATAGGGAAATATTGCTGTTGGCATTGGTTAACCATTTGACATGGTTAAGATCATTAGGGTAGTGGGTCTTGTTAGGTCCTGGCCTATTCTATTGGCTTATTTGTTGTGGATTTCAAAGAATAGTCTATAATGTGATACATAGTTAATGTCTAATACCATAGACATTAAAAAATGTTATTCTTCGTTAGTATTTTTTTGTTATGAGCAGGGGTTGATAAGTTTAGCTCCTATAAATATCAGAGTAGGCCTAGGAGAATCAGTACCAGATCTAGAAGAAATTTATGATATTCTTTTCCTTTCTAATCCTTTTTATTTGTTTTGCTGAGGTAGTTAAGTAGGAACTATATATATTGCTGGAACAATGCAGTATTTGTCAGGAATAGAAGTTTAACTTGAGTTACCTTACCAAACTGGGCTTTTGATAGCTGGATAGGGCTGCTGAAAAGTTTATAGGGTGCATTCATGTTAGTTATTTTTTTTTATTTTTTTAAGATTTTATTTATTTATTTGACAGAGAGAGAGAGAGCACAAGCAGGGAGAGCGGCAGGCAGAGGGAGAGGGAGAAGCAGGCTCCCCGCTGAGCAGGGAGCGGATGCAGGGCTCAATCCCAGGACCCTGGGATCATGACCTGAGCTGAAGGCAGACGCTTAACGACTGAGCCACCCAGGCGCCCCTTATGTTAGTTATTTTTTGACTCAACCTTTAAACATTATGCTTTTCCACTGTGTACTTTTCTTTAAGTAATTATTTTTAATTTTTTAATATGAGTATAGTTGGCACACGTTACATTAGTTTCAGGTGTACAACATAGTGATTCACTTTCTCTATACTATGCTGTGCTCACCCCAAGTGTAGCTACCACCTGTCACCATACTGCGCTATTACAATATCATTGACCATATTCCCTATGCTGTTCCTTTTATTCCCACGACTTATTCATTTCATAACTAGAAGCCTATATCTCGCACTCCCTGTCACCCATTTTGCCCACTCACTCCCCCACCCCTTCCCTCTGGCAACCATCAGTTTATTCTCTTTATTTGAGTCTGTTTCTATTTTCTGTTTGTTTTGTTTTAAATGTAATCGTACGGTATTTATCTTTTTCTGTCTGACTTATTTCACTTAGCATAATATCCTCTAGGGTCCATCCATGTTGCAAATGGCAAGATCTCATTCTTTTTTATGGCTGTGTAATATTCCATTGTACATATATACCACATCTTCTTTATCCATGGATATGGTTGCTTCTGTATCATGGGAATTGTGGGGTTTTTTTAATATAATTTTATTTTTTAGAAGATTTTATTTATTTATTTGACAGAGAGAAAGACAGGGAGAGAGGGAACACAAGCAGGGGGACTGGGAGAGGGAGAAGCAGGCTTCCCGCTGAGCAGGGAGCCTGACATGGGGCTCGATCCCAGGACCCCGGGATCATGACCTGAGCCGAAGGCCGACGCTTAACCAACTGAACCACCCAGGTGCCCCTATATCATGGGAATTGTAAATAATGCTGCAGGAAGCATCAGGGATGCAAATATCTTTTCAAATTAGTGTTTTCGTTTTCTTTGGGTAAATGCCCAGGAGTGGAATTACTGGATCATATAGTATTTCTATTTTTAATTTTTTGAGGAACCTCTATACTGTTTTCCACAGTGGCTGTTCCGACTTACATTCCCACCAACAGTGCATGAGAGTTCCTTCACTGTGTGCTTTTCTTAGCACAAATTTGTGTATTTTGTACCCATATGTTATTTTATTTTGGAAATATTTCCTGGTATGATCTCCCCCGGTATGTAGAAATCTTCCCTTTTTCTTATTTAATTAAAACATTTAAAAATATTTATGTTGGAGTGATGATACAACTAATGAAGAGCTTTAGGAAGCTTAAGAAGTTTCCTTTGATTAAAAACTTGAAAATTCTCTTTCCT